AGCTAGTTCTCCTTGCTGTTATATTTTAGTTTTAAATCTCTTGAGAAATGCTGATTTAAACACACACACACACACACACACACACACACACACCCATTGTAAGCAAGCAGGGAACCAAAGGTTTTTATGTAATCATGCACTGTGAATTCTCTGTAACAATGCATGTCTCTGACATCCTGCAGCGGAGGAGGCGGGAGAGGGATCAGAGGGAGGGAGGAGCTCAGGGGACTAAGGTGATGGTGCACGGGTGCATTGGGGAAGGAAACTCTATGGGGACTACACCTGAGGGGGTGGGAGGGAAGCAAATATTGTTTAAAAAGGGCCACATCAGCCCTAGGGACACGGAGACTTGCAGAGGCCTGGATGACTCAGTGGCTCTGCTGAGTGTTTTTCTGAGTGTGGATCAGCCTCCTATGTGGTTGTGTGATAGACATTCTCGTTTTGTGCCTGGATGCCCAGGGATACAAGTCACTATGAGCTCACCCCTCCCAGATCTGTGGGTTGCCCTTAGGACTGCAGGTGGTGCCACTGCACGGGTGTTTGTAGGGGAAAAGAGGATGTGGCGGGTACATAGAACTGCTCCCTAGACAAAGAGCCTCCCTACTATCATCTTTGGAGCTTAGCAGGGGTGGGTTCAGAAGGGAACCCCATCTTTGCATCTCCCAGTGGTTAGTGAGTGCCTTGCATCTCAAAAGTAGTTACTATCTCTCTGATTAGAGGGGAGGACCACAGATCAATATGGGTGCAGATGATAATTTGGTAATGAAATAGTACTGGCACTTAATTACTTAGGCATGGCTCTTCTGTCAGGCTCTAGAAGCTGCTCTAGATGTCCTAGGGTCTCATTAAGGTTTGACTGCCACCAAGCTTTGGGCACATCATTTTCTCTTTGCTATTGAGGGGTTTAGAGGAGTTGATCTTACCTGCCATTCTCAGCTTCCCCAGACTGCCATTGCTCTAGCTGGTAAAGAAAGTGGGCTTTAAAAAGGAAGAGGACCCTGGGTTTTGCCTGTTTGTGCAAAGTCCCAGAGAGTCTTTGGATGCCTGCTCAGATGTTCTAGGCTCCCCCAGGACCTCAGGGCCATGAGTTCAAGCCAACAATATCCACACCCACCACTGCTTCTCTCAGTGGAAGCCTTTTTTGTATCTAATTACCTCGGTGGTTGGTATTAGATTCTTACTGCTGCTGTAACAAAGAACTACTACTCTAGCAGCAGCAACAACACAAATTTCTTATCTTACAGTTCCAGAGGCCAGAAGTCCAAAGTCAGCCTCACTGAACCTAAGTCCAGGTGTTAAACAGCTGGTTCCTTTTCGAGGCTCTGGCTTAAAATATTTTCTGGGCTGTTCCAGTTTCTGGAGACCCCTGCATTTTCTTGACTCATGGCCCCTTTCTCCATCTTCAAAGGAGGAGGGACATCTCTCTTTGCTGACCTCTGATTCTAATCTTAGATCTTCTCTCTGATTCTGATCCATTTGCCTTCATTTTATAAGGGCCCCAGTGATGACCTTGGACCTATCCCGATAATCCAGGAGAATCATTTAATCATATCTGCAACATCCCTTTATCATATAAGATAATATATTCATAGGATTAGGATTATGAGGATTAGGATATGGATATCTGTATGTGTGTGTGTGTGGCGGCGGGGGCGGGGGGAGCATTATTCAGCCTACCATAGAGATTATCCATGTGCTTTCAAAAGAGACACTCACATCTCAAATCACCAGGATCTGATCACCATGCCCATTTTCTTCCCTCTTCATTTTTTTCAAGGCCATTACTGAGTGCCCACTAACCTGGAGACAGTGTGCCAGGGAAATTCCAGAATCTCCAAGACTTGCTCTCTTCCCTCATGGAGCTTACGTCTACTGGAGGAGAAAGATACATAGGCAATTATTTTAACACAAGGTAGAATGTGCTAAATGATACGAGTGATAAACCAAGGCAGTGGGAAGACAGGAGGGTGACATCACTTCTAGTCCCTAAAGTGGCAGATCACTACCCTCATTTGGGGCTCATAAATATGATTGCAACGTGTACCTGAATATTAGGTTATTAATTCTTATAGGCCAAGAATTTTAGGCCTTAAAAAAACAGGGTGATGTGTCTTTTCCTCTTAACGAAAAGGTCTTTTATGCAAAAAAGGTATCTAGTTTGCATGATTCAGGTGAAATCACTTCTACTCAAGGTGGATTAAAGTTGGGGGCAATAGACAGAATTTACTAGGCAAAGCAGAAGCTGGAAAGAAAACCTAGTTAGCCTTCTGACTTCACCCTGGACCCAAAAGGGTAAACTTCTACGACCTGGGTCATACCTGGAATAGTACTTGTTTCTATGCCTGACCAACAAATAGCCAGCACGGTTGACTTTCTTAGTTGGGAAGACAGTTCTTCCTCATGTGTCCTGTCAGAGGTGAAAGGGAATCTCCAACAAGAGCTCCCACCAGCCCAGAACGCAGTTTTAGAAAATACAGCTGACTTCTCTGGGAAAAACAAAACCAACCTTGTCTTACTCTGGTCATGGAAACCAACTTGGCACCTCATTATCACCTTGTTAGCAAGGACAGGCTTCGTTGTGGACGAACCTGGTAGGAAGGGCTGGCCCTGTGTGGGCAGGGCTTTGAGTTAAGCTTAATTGCTCTGCTAAAGCTCAGCTACTTAATGCTACACAAGAAGAAATCTATCATCAGACTCTTGACCATGCTCCACTTCCTTTCCTATTCTTGACCACATCAATAATTAGTATCTTCTCAGCTCAATACTGCCGTGGTTTCTGTGTGGGACAGCCACATGGGGGCCACCCAGGCTTGACTGCGACCAGCACAATTACACAGAGGAGAAGAGGTCTAGGGCCACCTTCAACCTTGACCCCCCCAAGTCCCCAGTATCTTAAAATGCAGCCCTCAGCGTAGCACAGCTGCTGGCTGGGCAGAGGTAGAATCTCTTTAATTACTCAGCAAATTCTTGATTTCTCACAATAAGAAAGAATAACCCAAAGTCATTGCATCTGACTCTGAAAAGTGTTTTGTGCTTGTACTTTAATGTGGGTGTGTCTGAAGTTCTGAGCTCTCATGTCAAGCAACACTGCAGCAGCTGTGGAGATGCACTTGAAGAGGGCTGAGAAGATGCAGACTCACCCTCCTGTGCACTTTTCAAAGCCTGGCTGGGGTTTGACTCCCACATCTACACACTCACCAACAGGGAGTGTAAGCTCACCTCATCTCTTTGAGCTTTCAGTTTTTGTTCTGCAAAATTAAGTGAAAGTTAATTTATATCACAGAACTGATGGAGCCATCAAATGGGTAGCCTTGCAGTCAACGTAAGACTCTCTCATCTTCCTCCTCACCTCTCCCTCACCTGTGTCCACCATTCTTGCAGACCAAAGCAGAGCCCAACCTAAGCAAAAGCTCTCTTGCCTCAGGTATCTCTAAAATGGGGGAGGGGTAACATGCATGCACTCTCCCACGGCTGCCTTTTTTATCCTCACATGTGCCTGGCCCTCCCTCCACCTTCTCTCGTCTTGTGATCATCAGATTTGCACTGTGCAGAGTCAATGAGAGTGGAGTCCTGTTTAAGTGTCCCAACTTCGCAAGTCCTAACCGAGGCATGCTGATCAGGCAGCCTGGGTTGTTCAAGGTCATCCCAGTGTCAAATGCACAGTCTCATTCTCCTCATTAAAATGTTGTGGAAATTCCAGTTCATCAACTTCTGAACACATGTGATTACATCCCCTGCCCGGAAGAGGAGTTTAAGACCCAGGAAATAGGGTGTTGCAAAAGAGCTCTGATTGTAACCGTGTAACCCAGGCTTTCTGGGAGAATATGCCTCCTTTTCAGAGCGTGCCTTTTGAGTTTTGATCCAGAAGACACTGTAACCAACCAACAGAGGTCACATGAAAGTCACAAGTTAGGCAGCACGCTCCTGCTCCTGCCATGAGATTCTGAGAAAGCCACTACCACCTGAGACTTCAAATTCAGATTCTTCACTTGCAATTCTTGTAGTCATTCCTTTTATTGGTTGGATTTGAGAGCAGACTGAAGGGAGAAAGATTCTTATTGCTTTGGGGTGTGGCATGGGGACAGGGTCAAAAATGCGTTTGGCACAAATATACACATAATTCCCTCTGTATGCAATTTTGAAGTCTGCTTTCTGATCTTACTATTAGAGCATATGGATTTTCTCATGTCACTCATTTTTGGGGTATACATCAACCTTACCAAATTCAAGATAGCGTCTTCCTCTGGCAATGATAAGGTGGGGTGTCGGGGTGGAGAGCAGATACCCAAAGGGCATTTACTGTGCTAGAGTGTTTTCTGTCATAAACTTGGCCCTGGGTACACTATTTTGAATGTTTTGAATAGTTTGCGATAAAGTAGAGATTTAAACACCAGTGGTAAATGGTTACTTAGCATTCCATTATGCAGATTTATCATCATTTACTCAGTTTAAAACCTCCCTGCCCGTCCTTCTAATATCAGCCATTTGTAATTTTCAACTTCGGACTTTTAAAATAATGCAGTATTTTAAAACATCTTTGGGCATCAGATTTTATTTGCCTTTTAATTCTGTTTATTAGGGTAGATTTGCAGAATTGAATCATTGGGTCAAATAATACACCAGATTTCCTTTCAACAAAGCTGCATGAATGTAGATAATCATTCATATTGTGAGCTTTTCACTTTATCTCACCATCTCTGAGTACTGTTATTTTTCCAATTTTTATTTTGCTAGGAAAATATATTTATTTCTAATGGTTTTAGTTTATATCTTTTTGATTACCAGAGAGATTGAACATTCTGTCATAAAATAATTTTTCCATTAGCGTTTTTTTAAATTGATGTGTACATGTGAGCACAGGATTTTTCAGACTCCCTTCTATGTGGGGCCCTTGCAGGGGGGTCTTGTTTATGTGGAGGGGGGGAATCACAGATAAGCAACAACCCCTGGCCCCCCTCTGTGAAAACCAGCTGTGCATTTAGACCTTTGTCTTCCTGCAGTGCCGCCAAGCTCCTGGACAAGACCCCGTTCTCGGTCAGTAACCCGAACCCTCTACTTCCCTCGCCAGCCAGTCTCCAACTGGCTCAACTGCAAGCCCAGCTCACCCTCCATCGGCTGAAGTTGGCACAGACAGCTGTCTCCAACAACACCGCGGCTGCCACGGTCCTGAACCAAGTCCTCTCTAAAGTGGCCATGTCCCAGCCTCTGTTCAACCAGCTCAGGCATCCGTCCGTGATCAGCACACCCCACAGCCACACCGGGGTGCCCCAACATGCTGCCACCATGCCCAGTGCCCGGTTTCCCTCTAATGCCATTGCTTTCTCACCCCCTGGCCAGACGCGGGGCCCAGGGCCTTCTGTGAGCCTCCCCAGTCAGCCCCCCAGTGCCATGGTGATGCATCCTTTCAGCGGGGTGATGCCTCAGACCCCTGCCCAGCCAGCAGTCATCCTGGGCATTGGCAAGACTGGGCCCACGCCTACTGCAGCGGGATTCTACGACTATGGCAAAGCCAACTCCAGCCAGGCTTATAGCTCTGAAACAGACGGCCAGCCCAACTTCCTGCCAGCCTCGGCCTCTACCTCGGGCAGCGTGACCTATGAAGGGCACTACAGCCATTCAGGACAAGATGGCCAAGCTGCCTTTCCCAAGGATTTCTATGGACCCAACCCCCAAGGGGGCTCGCATGTGGCAGGCGGATTTGCCACTGAGCAGGCCGGGGGCATGAAAGGCGAGGTGGGTCCACTGCTGCAGGGAGCAAACAGCCCATGGGAGAGCCCCCATGGCTTCTCTGGCCAGAGCAAAGCTGACCTGCTAGCAGGCCCCAACCTGTGGCCTCCACCCCCCAGCCAGCCCTATGAGCTGTATGACCCCGAGGAGCCCACCCCAGACAGGACCCCTCCTTCCTTAGGGGGTCGACAGAACAGCAGCAAACAGGGTTTCAGTGGTGCCAGGCAGCGGGCCAAGGAGGAGCAGGTCATGCTGTCCGTGAGGCCCCTACAGGCGCACGAGCTGAATGACTTTCATGGTGTGGCCCCCTCCCACCTGCCCCACGTCTGTAGCATCTGTGACAAGAAGGTATTTGACTTGAAGGTGAGTCGTTCAAGGTTGCTGGAGCCGGGCCGGGCACCACCACAACCCAGCTGTCACCTCGTGAGCAAGGAACTGTTGCACTGTGTAACCCAGTGCTGGTGCCTGGGTTATAAAGAAGGTTCTCGGGAGGCAGAGCTTCTGCCTCCTGGAGGGGGACTTTTCCTCTGCCAGATGCCTGGAAGCCACTGTTCCTCGAGGACATCTATTGTCTTGAGTACAAAAGGGGAAAACAGCAGAATCTTAGGTCAGGGGCAAGAGAGTCATTCTCTCTCTTGAGACCTCAACAATTTATTCTAGAGGGCCTCAGTTTCCCCATCTGTTGACTGGAGATGAATCCTGAGGATACCTTCCTGGGGATTATAAAATACTTTGGGCCCCTTGTAATATCACTCTCCTGCCCAAATGTGTTGCTGATGCAGTGAAATATTCTAAAGCATAATAATAGCTAACTTACATTAAACCCTTTGGGTGTGTTAGCAGTAACTCTACAAGGTAGGTACTGCTATCATTCCTATTTTACAGAGAAGATTCCCATTTTATGGAAAGGTGAAATGACTTGTCCAGGGCCCCATAGCTATAAAATGGCAGAGTGGAGAGTTGAAGATAGGTTGGGATCCCTGAGCCTGTGCCTCCCGGCACATCTCTGTTGATCTGCAGAGCTCACCAATGCTCTGCTCAGTGGGACTCACGCCACAGTGTGCTGTCATTCCCCTCTGCTTGGGCCCCATCACACGGCACATCCCTGACACTGGGGGGAAGCACCCCCTTACCTCCAGGCTCAGGAGGGGCTGGCTTACACCAAGAGGTGACAGAGGATTTTGTCTTTCATATAAGCTTTTTCTAAGATTTTTGCAACTCAGTGTGAGTCACCCTGCCAGATTCTCCCAGCTGAATATAAAATGGGTGGGGTCTTTCTGGAGTGCGGGGGAGGGGTAGAAGGTGAGAGGTGTGGTGGTGACCAAGGGTCACTGAGGGGAATGGGAACTGGACTTGGCATCTGGACTCCCATCCAAGATGGGCTGGGCTGTGTGGGTGGAATGGGGCTGAGGAGTGAGGGCTGGATGGGAGGCAGGGGAGTGGTGGGAGAGGTTGGCAAAGGGAAGAGGGAAGAGAGAGGCATCTGCAGGGCTGGTCCAGCCTCTGGGTGCCCTGAACACCCTGCCCATATGGGGAATCCCACCGTCTCACGGACCTAGTTCTCCTTCAAGTCATTTTTCTTTCCTCTGGCCTAGGACTGGGAGCTGCACGTGAAGGGGAAACTCCACGCTCAGAAATGCCTGGTCTTCTCGGAAAAGTAAGTGCTGTCCAGGAGAACAGGTCTGTGCATGCCTCAGCAAATCTTCACTGAGCTCTCGCTGTGTGGCACCCTCTGTTCTAGGTGCCAGGAAAGAGCAGAGGACAAAACAGAAAACAGGCAAAGTCCTGGTCCTCAGGGAGCTGACACGTAGTAGGGGCAGGAGGGTGGAAGATAAGGAAAATAAACTAGTGAATTAAATAGCATCCCTGGTAATAAATGCTAAGCAGGAAACATCAGGGCAGAGGTGGTGGGAGGGATGGGGAAGTGTTTGCACACACAGGGCTGGATTTTAAATAAGGTGGTGGTGGGGAAATGGCCTGGGAAAGCTCCTAGGAAGGGATGGATTGGCTGTCCTGGGGGGGGGTGGCATGTGCTCTTGGTAAAGTGAATGCCTCTGGGAAGATAAAACAATGCCATTGTGGCCAGAGTGGAGCACTGGGGTGAAGACCTGATGGTCTTCACTGGGCACTGGGGTGAAGTCCTGATGGCGTGGACTCCTGTGGGAACGTGCATGTTTGCTTCAAGAACAATTGGAGATTGGAGCAGTTGGAGGGCTGAGCAAAGTGGTGATGAGCTCTGAGTCCTCTGGAGGGTACCTTGGCTGCTGTGCCAATCACCAAAACCTGGAAGTAGCCTCAAAATCCACAATAGATGAATTAATAAGCAAAATGTGGGCTCTACAGACAATGGAATATTAGACAGCCTTTAAAAGGAAGGGCTTTCTGACTTATGCTACACCATGGATAAAGTAAATAAGCTAGTCACAAAAGGATGAGTCGTATGTGATTTCACTTACGTGAGGTTCCTAGAGTAGTTAAATATGAAAAGGGAGAAAGTAGAATGTTGTGGTCAGAGATAGAGGGGAGATGCTGTTTAATGGACAGAGTTTTAGTTGCAGGATGAAAAGAGTTCTGAGCAGGGACAGTGGTGATGATTGCACAACATCAATGTGCTTAATGCCACCGTACGATACCCTTAAAATGGTTATGATGATGAATTTTGAAAATATTATATTTTACCACAATTTAAAAAATCTGGCTTTTCTTTTCTTATTGTGATAAAATTCACCATTTTGACCATTGAAAGGTGTGCAACTTAGTAGCATTTAGCACACTCACAAGGTAGTGCAATCATTACCACTGTCTAGCTCCAGAGCATTTTCATTACCCTGAAAGGAAACTTCATACCCATTCAGCATCAACCCCCGTTTCTTCTTTTCCTCCTCACCCTGTTTCTGGCAACCACTAATTTGCTTTCTATCTCTATAGATTTGCCTCTTCTGGACATTCCATACCAATAGAACCATATAATATGGTATGTTTTATGACTGGCTTTTTTCACTTAGCATAATATTTTCAAGGTCCATCCACATAGTAGCAAATACCGCCTTTCCAGGGCTGAAGAGGCCACGTTTTGTATGGACCACATTTTGTTTATTCATTCACCTTTGGATCTGTATTTGAGTTGCTTCTACCTTTGGCTCTGTGAACAGTACCGCTATGAACAAATGCACAGGTTTTTGTTTGAATATCTATTTTCAGTTACTTTGGGTCTAGGTCCAGGAGTGGGAAAAGATAATTCTTTGTTTACTTATCAAGGAACTGCTTTCCCTTCCTCCCCTCCAGCGCTGGTGTCCACTGTCTGCTGGGTTCAGCAGAGGGAACGCTGTGTGCCACTCCCAACAGCACAGCCATTTATAACCCCGCTGGGACCGAAGGTGAGTAAGGCGCTGCAGGCCAGGAGCTTGAAGCGGATATCATGTCTTTATCCACCAGATGTGCCTGATGTGCCCTGTGATATGTCTATAGAGCAGACAGATCCCAAGACACTAAACTGCACTGGGCCAGCTGTCTGGGTTCTCTGACTTTTTCAGACGTGTTTTAGGCACAAAGCTTTGCTGGTTTGTGTGCCTAGAGGTATCATCCTGCCGATTGCTGATCAATATGTTAGAAGAAATTTTCCTTTTTTCCCTTCCACTTAGGTCCTCATAATGACTTTTGAAGGTAAAGCATCTGGCTGGGTTTTTACCTGGCTTCTGTAATTTTCCTTTAGATTATGCCTCAAATCTTGGAACATCCTATGCGGCCCTTCCAGCAAGGACATTTGCTCAGCCGAATCCTGCATTTCCCTCCCCTGGGACAAATGTGAGTACAGAAGGGTTTTCTCCATGCTTGCCATCATCATCATCATCATCAAAGCATGTGTCTGGAGGAGAGAGGGTGCGGAGGAGGCTGGGTGAGCTGGTGCAGATGTAGCTCTGTGCAGCGCAGGCAGACCTATCCCCCAGCAGAGGTCCGGAGTAGCTTCACTCAGTCCAGCTAGTTTGGAAACACACAGGCCGAAGGAAGCTTTACAATTCTTAAAATTGAAAACATGCATAGACTTGCTAGCATTTGCTACGGGTTTAGAAAAATGTAAGTTCGCACTTTTCCGTATTGCTTTTTTAAAAAGACTTTTTGATGTTTTATTGAAGTGGACCATTTCCTATGAAGGGGTAATTCTGAAACTTGAACCAGAGAGAGAAAATGTGCTTGAAAGTAAAGGTCACGCACTAAGGGTATTTGTGGGCCTTTTGGGGCGGTAGCTATTGCTGTATGATGCTTTTTTTGTTTTTTGGGTTTTTAGTTGTGTTTATGGTCTTCTCTCTACAACCTGCAGTTCAGTCCCCTGAAGCTTTAAAGTTGCACCCTCCTTTACATGATTGTGACAACCCCTTCTCCTCCTGGGATTTCCTGTGATATGAAGCCTGATAGCCCCCGTGGGCTCCTGTCCTGAGCACAGGGAAGGGGGTGGGAGACTCGGGACTGACTGTAAACAAAGTGCCTTTGGCTGAACACTGCTGGGGTGTGTCTGTGTGTTTTCGCCTAGGTCTGTGTTTTTTCAGTTTGTGAGGTGAGCAACTGCGGCCCGAACACCAGCTCAGGAGAATCCTAGCCTCCGCCCCCACCCCCATGCCCTCCACTTGTGGATGCACAAACCCAGGTTTTGGCGACAGAGACTTCTGTGCTTTCCCTCCCGATGCTCAGGGCCGCCCCTGCTCTGTCCCGGGAGAGCAGCAGGACTGGGTTCAGCGAGGCCTGCTGTTCGTGATTGAGGTCAGACCTCTGACCGCGTGACCTTGTGTACTGATGGGAGTGTTGACGGCTCCGGCATCACCAGTCCTCACAGCCTGTTTGCCAAACTATGGACTATGTCGGCATGTCTGTGCTCTCAACCTGCTCTGAGACCCCAGCGCCAAGGGGGAGAGGAGTCTGACAGAAAGAGGAGTTGGGCGGCAGGTGTCTAGGCACAGGAAAGAGAGGAGTGAGGAGTGGTCTGATGAGAGGCAAGGATAGGACAACTGGGCCTCTGTCCGGCGCGTCAGCCTCACCCTCTGACACTGACCCCAGAACCACAGGCCCTTTCCCGGGATGTGGAACCCAGAGCCCTAAATTCAAGTCCTAGTGCTAGAACCCGACAGGTTCCAGCCACTTTGCTTCTCTGAGGCTCCTGTTTTCCTTATGCCCAGGGAACTCCCCTGACACTGCCTTTTGAGTGAAGTAAAGAAGTGCATTTTCTTTTTTTTTTTTTTTTTTTAAAGATTTATTTATTTATTTATACAAGCACTGGGTACAGTCAGAAGTGCGGAAGGGTTACAGAATTCACCAGAGCCAGAGCGGGGAGTAGAACAGACAGACTGATGAAATACACTGCTGAGGGGAGCAGCGGGCGGCAGGAGAGGTCTGCTGTGCCATGTGGGACCCTCACTGGTGGCTGGGGATCGAACCGGCGCTGCAGAGGCTGCGGGTAGCTTCGCAGCCCAGCGCTCAACCGCTGCGCCACCTGCGGAGGCCCAAGAAGTGCATTTTCACCTGGCTGTGTAGCTGGTCACCAGCCTCAAACCTCACAACACCGTTTGCGGCCGGTTGAGTGGTCCTGGTCAGAGCTGGAAGGCAGAGCGGCCATAGGGAGCCGCGCCCAGTGTAAGACGTGATAGCGGCTATTAATGAATAAGGAACCTATCTGAGTCTGGCTTGTCTGGCCGTGTGACCTTTGGCCAGGTCAGTCTGTCTGTGTTCCTGCCAGGTCAGTCTGTCTGCTGCCCTGGAGTTGCTGTAAGGCTCCCAAGGAGGCCCTTCACTTACTGTGGGCTGGGAGCTATCACTGTTATGATTCACGATAGTCTGGGTTAATTCCAGCCACTCTGAACACAACTTCTTCCAAATGCTGGGAGATGGGGAGTTTGTCTAGCTTGAGCCTGAGGAAAGCAGCAGCAGATGGAAAACCCCAGACACCGGAGGAGGAGCATGCTAACAGGAGCTCACATTTATGTAGGCCTAGTATGTTCTTACATCCTTTTGTATGCATTAGCTCATTTAAGACCTTTAAAGTGCTCCCTGGTGGCGCAAGGGGTTAAGCACAGCACTGTGAAGCTGTCTGCAGCCTCTGTAGCACTAGTTCGATCCCTGGCCAGCCAGGGAGCAACCCACAGACCTCTCCTGACTAGCCCACTGCTCCCCTCAGCAGTGTATTTCAGTCAGTCTGCCTGTTCTGTTCCCCACTCTGTCTCTGGTGAATCCTCTCACACACACCTTGGCCCTGCACCTCTGGCCTGTACCCCAGGTCTTGTATGCATAAATAAATAAATCTTAAAAAAATAAAATAAAATGTATTAGTTCACCTTAGGCAACTCAGTGAGGTGGGGGAAGCTGGGAATAGAGAGACTAAGTCCTCTGCCTCAGGCCACACAGCTGGTAAGTGGAGGCAGAGGGATTCGCCCGGCTCTGGAAGCCTTGCTTTAACCACTAAGCCCTGCTGCCCCTGTCTGAGGGTCTCCAAGATCTCTCCCTGGCTGTGGTTCTCTTTAGGGAGCCCATTCTCTCTCTCTTTCCCACTGGACAAGCTACTTAGCAGGACCTGAGGCCACTGGGGCTGGCAGGGACTGTCCTGACCCCACCGCCATCAACCGTGGGGCCCAGTGAAGCAGCTGGTCTTACCTGGCACCCAGGTTCTTCTCTCCATGACAGCATCAGCTACATTAAGCTCAGGTCTCAGATGCGTGGAGGCTTTTCCTGCAGAGCCAGTGGAGGGAAGAGAACCTCAAGTGACTGGTTTTATTGTCAGAAATTCAGTGGAGCCTTGTTGGTTACATGAGCCTCCCCAGTGATCTCTGGCAACAAGGACAAGTTGTGGCCAACCCCCACCCCCACCCCCCCAGTCCCTGTATCACCAGCGGCTGCGTGGTCACACCCTCCTCACCCACTTTGGGTCTCTTTTTTTCTGGCAAATAGACTTGGGTCTTCAGGTCCTCTTTTTTTCTGGCAGATAGATTTGAATGCCAGTGTGTCTTTGTTTAGGAGAACCTGAAATAAAAAATATTGCCAGTTTGAAAACAAATTAAGAGAGTGAAAGACTCCTTTTAGTACCAGGAGAGGCCTTCAGAGAAACTGGTCTTTCCACCTGCAGATAGTGCCCTCCAAAGAAAAGCAGATACATCAAGGGTTAACCACTCTGTTCCCAAGGGCTACTTTACAGGCCTCCATGAGTGCCCAGCATTTCCGTTGTTATTTTCTGTTACAAAAGGTGTGCTTGCTGTGAAAATTCAACCAGAGAAGAAATATTTAATGAGGATATTGAAGTTACCCCCATGGTCTCCCACCCCAACCCCCACAGAACACTGGAAGGCTTTAATGCATTTTCCTCTAGAAGTGTTTTCTGGTCCTGGGCCAGAGCTTTCTCTTCTGATGTCATTTACATACATCTTTTCAGAAACACATTTTGTTGAGTAAAACCAGAAACAGCCAGGACTCTCCATTATAATATCCTTATTGTGTGTGGAGCAAATAGCACATTGCTGCTGCTAAAACCCTGTTTTTAAGCAGGAGTACAAAGCCTCAAGGGGCTCCAGAAACAAGGCTTCTTCAGAAAGCATCTAAACTGCTAAAAAAAAAAATTCTAAATCACCACAAAGCCCATCTACCACCACCACCAAGCCTAGGCTTAGCAGAATGCAAACTTGTCTCAACTCTGCAAGATTCACTTCCATGTTTATGTTTGACAGAGACAAATCCCTGAACTGACTAGTTGTGTTTGCTGCTGGTGGTGCTGGGGAGAGGTGATTTGTGTCTGTCTCCAGCCCTCCCTGCCCACCCCAGGGTCCCAGAAGAGGGATATTCACTTTCACTTAAGCTTCTCCCAGTTGACAAGCCGAGGCACTTTATCCTTGGCTGCCTGAGCCGTCATAAACAGAGTAATCAGGTTTCTGGAAGGGGCCGTAGGGCCTTCTCAGGCTGTAAATAGTTGTTTTGCGCCTGCCCAAGATACACTTTGCCTGTTGTCTGTCCCCATAAAACCACGTTGTAGTTTCCACAGCCCTCTAGGAGTTTGTTTAGTGCTGGGGCTGCAGATGGGCCCCCCTGGGCCACGGCTTCCATGGTTTCACCAGGGTCCTGCTCACCACAAAACTTGTGTAAATAAGAAAACTGAGGGCCTCCTTAGTGGTGCAGCGGGTTATGTCTCAGCACTATGTAGCTATCTGCAGCCACTGCAGCATGAGTTCAATCCCCGGCCAGAGAGCTGACCCACATGGTGCAGCAGACCTCTCCTGACTCACCCACTGCTCCTCTCAGCAGTATATTTCAGTAGATCTGCCTGTTCTGTTCCCACTCTGTCTCTGGTGAATCCTATCACCCCCTGCACCTCTGGATTACACCCCAGTTCTTCTATGTATAAATAAATAAATCTTTAAAAAAACAGAAGACTGAGTCACAGGGAAACATCAAGTTTTGTGGAAGGCCAGAGGCTTAAGTCATACATTGCCTTCACATTGCTGGCAGTTACTAGGACATCTGTCCCCTCTGGCATTCCAGGTCCATGTCCCAAAGCACTATGGCCTCCTGACTTCCAGACAGCAGGAAGGGTCGTCCCTGATGTGCAGAAAATACCCCACTAGCCCTCCCACCCCCACCCTCAGGGGTATCTGGTGCATCTCCAAAGAGAACAGAGAACAAGGAACCAGGATACCCAAGTGGGTTTTTTTTCCTTTCCTTTTTACCATCATTTTTCTTTGCAAAAGTAGTGCAAACAAGGTATCAAAAGATCAAACAGAAATAGCCATATAAAAAGTAGAAAAATCTATCCCTGCAGAGAAGACTGAAGATAAATG